GGAACTTACTATGTAGACCAGGTTGATCTTGAACTCACAGACATCCACCTGCCTCTGGCTGCAGAGTGCTGGGGTTAAAGGTGTGACCCAGCAGGATAGCCCAGGAATTCTTTCCCATTCCCCTACCTTCTTCCTCTCTTTAGATGAGTGAAGTTATAGGGTGACCTCAGAGGTGCCTTGAATGGAGTTATACTCTGATAAGGTAAAACCAGGAGCCTCTGCGGCTACACAGGAGTTTAGCACATGTCCTTTTCCTGTAAATGGTGCTTCTGGTGAGATTTCTAGAAAGTCTAGAAAATGCAGTTTATACTTAGGAGAAAGATGGTAAGCAGTTGCTAATTGTGCTGGAATTTTGATTCTCTCTTGGGCAGAGGCTTCAACCAGATTCCAGGGTGAAGGGCTCCTTTTCTTTCTCACGTCCCCCAAATTTCCCATTTTTGTATCCTGCCTTAGTCTCTCATAACCTAGCCTGGCCTCTAACTCACTATGTAGCTGAGGCTGGCCTCAAACTTCTGATCCTCTGGCCTCCACTTCATAAGTGCTAAGAACACAAACGCCCGGCTTGGTGTGCTTCTTTTGTTTTTTTTTTTCCACTCACCAAATGCAAACCTGCTATGTCTGGTTATAGTTTGACCCCAGGCATCTCCCCGGGAAGGCTCACTTTGTCCTTTTCTCTTTAATGCTCACTTGGCCAGAGGACAGGATGTTCCATTTATGCGTCACTGTGTATGTGTGAGTGGGTGTCATAAGAGATGGTGCTAACAACAGCAGCCAGAGGGACCAGCGTGTAGAAGGTATTCAGAAATTGATTTCTACATGAACTTTAGCTGAGTCATATTCAAGGCCTTGGAGGACTGACGGAAGCTAGGCTTTATTTTTTGCTAACAGCTCTTCAGCAAGCAACTTCTTTGCAGCAAAATATATGCTCAATAGCAGGCATACAGATGTAGGCACAGTGCATTGGCTTAGCAAAGGATGTTGGGAAAAGGTTGTACAGCTCTGTAGGAACTAAATGAGGTCTATGGGAGCTACATTGTGAGAACTTGTGTGGAGGGGATAGCTTTTAGAATAGTAAAGAGGCCAGTGTGGTAGTGCACGCCTTTAGTCCCAGCACTTGGGGTGGTGGGAGACAGGCAGATCTCTGTGAGTTTAGGGCAAGCCTGGTCTGTATAGTGAGTTCTGGGCCAGCTGAGTCTACAGGAAGACCCTGTTTAAAAAAAAAACAACAAAAAAACCCAACCAAACAACCAAACACCAAACAAAAAATAGAATAGCAAAGGGCTGTGGCAACAGCTCAGCAAGCGCTTTGCAAGCATGAAGACCTGAGTTCAGTTTCCCAGAACTCCTGGAAGTGCACTTACCTACTGAGAAATCTTGCTAGTTCTTCATTTTCATTTGTTTATTTTATTATTATTTTTTAATTTATTTGTTTTCAGTTTGTGTATGAGTGTTTTGCCTGCATGTAAGTGCACCCATGTTGTGCAATGCCCACAGAGGCCAGAAGAGGGCACTGGATGCCCTGGAACCAGAGTTACAGACAGTTGTTATCCACCATGTGGGTGCTGGGAACAGAACCTAGGTCCTCTACAAGAGCAGCCAGTGCTTTTAACCATTGAGCCACTTCTCCAGCCCCTTTAAAAACTTTTTTGAGACAGGGTCTCACTGTATAGTCCTAGGTGACCCTGGTACTTACTATGTAGACTAGGCTGGCCTCAAACTCACAGAGATCTGCCTGCCTCTGCTTCCCAAGTGCTGGAATTGAAGGCATGTGCCACTATACCTGGCTTTTTATTTATATTTAAAAAAATATTTTATGTGGATGAGTGTTTTGCCTGCATGTATGTGCATCATGTATGCAGTTCTTATGGGGGCAAGAGAAGGCACTGAATCCCTGGACAGTTGCTAGCTACCGTGTGGGTACTAAGAACCAAACCCAGGTCCTCTGCAAGAGCAATAAGTACTTTTAGGAACTGAGCCATCTCTCTAGCCCTATTTGTGTTTTTTTCTTTTTTAAGGACCAGAACACTTCTTTGTAACACAGGTTTTGAACTCCTTATCCTCCTGCCTCCTACTAATCCTCAGCCTCTTCCTTTCTTTCTTTCTTTCCTTCCTTCCTTCCTCCCTCCCTCCCTCCCTTCCTTCCTTTTCTTTCTTTCTTGGTGTTTTTGAGACAGGGTCCCCCTGTAGCCCCAGCTTTCCTGGAACTCACTATGTAGACCAGGCTGGCCTTGAACTCACAGAGCTCTGCCTGCCTCTGCCTCCTGAGTGCTGGGATTAAAGGCATGCGCCACCATGCTCGGCTTCTACTTTTTTATTTTAAAACAGGATCTTACTCTGCAGTCCTAGCTGGCGCAGAACACATTGGCCTAGAGTAGCCTTGAACTTGTGGGTGATTCTCCTGCCTCAACCCCCTAAGTGTTGGGATTATAATAAGCATGCACCACCACACCCAGCGTTCAAGGTGGCCTTGAAGGTAGTTTCTGTGACACAGATGACTATGGTTACTCTATCATTATTATGCAAGACAATAAAATTACACATATAAAAATAATATGCCTTGGGCTGGAGACATGGTTCAGCAGTTAAGAGCACTAGCTTTTCTTGCAGAAGACCTAGGTTTGAATCCGAACACCCACATGGTGGCTAGCAATAGTTAACTCCAGTTCCAGGTGATCCAACCCCCCTCTTCTGTCCTCTGTGGGCACTACACGGCATGGGTGCACTTACACACATGCAGGCAATACACTCATATACATAAAAACAAACAATATGCTTTATTTCATTTAGTACATTAAAAATTATTTTACCTTTATTATTTATTTATTGGGTGGGGAAGCACACACACCACAGTAAGGTGTAGAGATCAGAGGATGACTCACTAGAATTGGGTCTTTCCTTCTGCCACATGTGTCCTGAGACTCAAATAAGTTGTCAGTCTTGCTGGCAAGCACCTTTATTCGCTGAGCCATCTCACTGGCACTATTTAGTCTTTTATTTATTTTCTAAGCAGTGGTCACACCACTCAAGGGGTCTCACTTGGCCCTTTCTTTTTTAGTTTTTTGAGACAGGGTCTCACTATATAGCACTGTCTGGCCTGGAACTCACTATGTAGACCAGGTACACGCCTTTAATCCCAGCACTTGAGAGGAAGGGACAGATATATCTTAGTGATGGAGGCCAGGATGGCCTGAGTTACGCGCCGGCTGGGGCTACAGGGAGACCCTGTCTCAAAAAAGTTGAGAGAGAGAGAGAGAGAGAGAGAGAGAGAGAGAGAGAGAGAGAGAGAAACTCTTAACTGCTGAGCTGTTGCTCCAGCCCCCGCAGTTGTAATTCTTTTTTAGAATTCTTATTTAAAAGTATTTATTTTTAATTGTCCAAGTGTTTTGCTTGCCTGTATGTATACCTAGTGTGTGTGCTGTGTCCGTGAAGGCCAGAAGAGAGTGATGGAGCTACCACGTAGGTGCTGGGACTTGAACCCAGGTCCCCTGTAAGAACAACCAGTGTTCTTAGCTGCTGAGTTATCTCTCCACCCCGTTTTTCTCTTGTTTTTTTTTCGAAACAAGATCTCATTGTATAGTCTTGGCTGGCTTGGAGTGTACTATGTAGCCCAGGCTGACCTCAAACTCACAGAGCTGACCCTGTCTGAACCTCCAGAGGGCTAGGATTAAAGGCATGTACCACCATGCCTAGCTACCACCTTATTTTATTTTAAGATTATTTATTTTTATTTTATGTGTATGGGTGTTTGTGTGCATGTATGCTTATGTACTATGTGCATGCTTGGTGCCCTTGGAGACCAGAAGAGGGCATTATAATTCCCTAGAACTGGAGTTACAGGTGGTTTTGAGCCATCTTGTGTGTATTAGGAACCTAATCTGGGTCCTCTGCAAGAGCTTCAAGTGCTCTTAACCATTGAGCAACCTCTCCAGCCAAGAAGTTGTAATTCTTTAATTTTTATTTTATGTGTATGAGTGTTTTGCTTGCATGTATGTCATGCAATGCCCATGGAGGTCAGAAGAGAGTGCCCGTTCCCCCAGAATTAGAGTTAGGAAGGGTTGTTAGCTACCGTGCGGATGCTGGGAATCAAACCTGGGTTCTCTGGAGGAGCAGGCAGTACTCTTAACTGCTGAGCCATCTCTTCAGTTCCAGCAGTTGTAATTCTTGATGAATAAGTAAAATTTTCTAAGGTCCTTAAGGAATTCTAATGATAGCCAGTATTGATTGAGTCCTTATTGCCACCCAAATAATGTTCTGTGTTTAGCCTGGTATGTTAGGTGGGATTGCTAGAGGAACAGATCCAACAGAATGTATATCTATCATAAAAGGGGGTTTACTAGATTGACTTACACAATAAGGGCTCTAGGTAAGAGAGTGGAGCTTGGTTAACGTGTGACAGTACTCAGGCTGCTGGGGACTCTCAGGAGGCAGGGGATAAGTGGGGGTGTCTTGCACCCTCTCTATTTAGGACTGAGTTAGCAGGTGGGTCTGGGCTCTCTAAGCATTGATGCCAACAGAGAGACCATTCAAACCTCTCAGTGTGCTTGGAGAGCTCTTGCCCAGGTATATAGCTAGGTAGAGGCCCAGCTAAGACCGAGATACAGGATGCCCACACTTATGTGGGGCCATGCCAAACCTACGGCTGACTTCTAGGACAGACACATTCTGCTCTATTATGTCAGAGGAACACCTGCTTGGACCAAGGAGCCGTGGGATCATCTGTTATTGGTGACAATGAAGTGAGTGCTAGCCCATGTTTGAGTCCAGCATTTGCCTCTCCCTGCTTCCTAGGTGTGGATACAGTGTGACCAGCTGCCTCACACTCCTGACACTATGCCTTCCCACCATGATGGACTGCGCCCTCAGACGGTGAGCCCGAATAAACCCTTTCTTCTTTAAGTTGCTTGTGTCAAGTAGTTTGTAAACCAAGGCAGAAAGAAACTAATACAGAGAGGGTCAGTCCAGGTCTGGAATGAATGGTGGTCTTGAGTGTGCAGAAGGAAGGTGGAGGCCCAAGGATTCTGCTTGCCTCTGAGGATGCTGAGTCAGAGCTCAGGACCACAAGGAGGATGCTGGGAGGAAGCCAGGAAGAGCGGAAGGCAGGATCCGCAAGCCACAGGGTTCCCAGGAGGGAAGGGTTGCTGGGCGCTGGGGAGGGCTGTGTGGGCGGAGCAGCATCCGGAAGCTGGGAACCGCTCCTGCATCTCCGCGCACATCTCCTGCTGCACCGGGAGAAGCGCTCCCGCCCCCAGACCTCCATTCCGGCTCCTAGCCAAAACCATGGGTGTCTGGTGTCGCCTCGGCGGCATCCTCTGGCTCGCCTGCCTTCTGCCCCTAACCCTGGGAAGGGTGCCTACAGGTAATCCGCAGCCTGTCAGCGGTGGGGTTGGGTAGGGGTAGGGGTAGGGGTGGGGGTGGGGGTGGGGAGGGGGTGGTGTACCTGGAAACTGAGGTAAGGAGATGGAAGATGACGCCTGTCGGCGTGCATCCTGTCTCTCCCTGGCACCCTTCTGTCGCCCAGGCACTTGAGTTACCTACCTGTTCCTCTTGATTCAGCCTCCATCGCGAACGGATCTCCGATCTGCTTTTTGCGCGCAAGCGCGCCAATGGCAGGCACGTCCATCTTGATGCTCCGGGACTGGTACCTGCCCGAGGAGGAATAGGGAGAATGGCTTCGGGGAGGCCAGGATGAGCCAGGGGAGGTCATCCCGCCACAGCCATGGGGGAGCCATGGGGGAGCCCCGCCAGCTTGTCCTGGTGGGGCAGCGTTTTTGCCTTAAGATGGTTTCTGCCCTGCTGTACGAGTCTCCATCTCAGGAGGCCAGTCTGCCATTTCCTCCCTGGGAATGATTTGTTATTTTATTTCATTTCATTTCCTTTTATTTTGTTTTGTTGAGTCAGTGCCTTACTATGTAGCTCTGGCTGGCCTGGAACTCATGATGTAGATCAGGCTGGCCTTGAACGCACAGAGGTTCTACCTCTGTTTCCTGAGTGTTGGGATTAAAGGCATGCATCACCACATTCAAATCTTAAAAAAAAAATTCTTTTGAAGCCGGGTGTGGTGGCATATACCTTTAATCCCAGCACTTGGGAGGCAGAGGCAGGTGAATCTCTGTGAGTTCAAGGCCAGCCTGGTCTACCTTATGAGTTCCAGGACAGCTGGGGCTACAGGGAGACCCTGTCTCAAAAAGACCAAAAAACATTTTTTTTTTTTTAGATTTATCCATATTTTATGTGTATGAGTGTTTGCCTGCATGTAAGTGCACCAGTGTCATGAAATGCTGGCAGAAGACAGAAGAGAGTGTTGGATCCCCTGGAACTGGATTATGGTCCATTATTAGCCACCAAGTAGATGCTGGGAATCCCATCTAGGGCCTCTGCAAAAGCAGCTAGTGCTTTTAACCACCGAGCCGTTTCTCCAGCCTCATGAGATCCTATCTTAAACAAACAAACAAACAAATGAACAATAAAAACCTAGCAAGAATGGTTGGGGACTCTGGGAAGCCAGAAAACATGTCCTTACATAGAGGAGAAAGTAGGGTCCTGGGACTCTAGGGCTAGCCTTTCTGGTGCCTCAACTGGCTTTCATGCTACAAATGGGAAAAATAGGGCAAGGGAGGCAGCAAGTCTGGATGTCAGCCTGTTGTGTGGCTTTTTCTGGGGAGACACAACAGACATCTACTTCAGTTAAGGCACCAATGACAGACCAATGTAATGAGCCATTTCTCCAGCCTTGGCATCTTGATTTAAATGGGTTTATCATTAAACTAATGGCTCTGAAGGAAAGACATTCACAGAGTGGACGTGGGACATGAGCAAAAGGAAAGACTGGAGCCAAAGTCCCTAAGAGGGGACTTTCCTCCGAAGTGAATGGGGCACATCTGAAGACAGACTAGCTTCCTAGTTTTGCTGATGAATTCAACAGGTGTCCTGTGAAGAGGAACATGCTCTTCAGTTCTGAGCACTCCCAGGACCTGTAGACGTGGGGAACTCAGAAAGGGTTCAATCAGTAACACCTAGGTGAACAGTCTGAAACAATACCAGCTGACCTGGTTCTTCTGCCACACCTTAATCTCCAGACGTTGTATGGCTCAGTGGTACCATGGAGAGAGTGTGTGTGCGTGTGTGTTTGCATGTCTATGTGTGAGCGTACATATGCTGGTACACATGCATTTGGGTTTGTGTGCATGCACTTGTGGAGGTGAGATGCTGACCCCCAGCATCTCCTCCAGTCGCTGTTCATCTCTAGCACAGCCTGATACTGTCCACTAACCACATATGTTTGTTGGGCACTTGGGATTTTTATTTTATTTTTGAATTCTATTTGTTTTTATTTTATGTATACAAGTGTTCAGCCTGCATATATGGAGAGGAGAGGCCACTATCATACAATATCAGGAAAGGCCAGAAGAGGGTGTTGGAGCCCATGAAACTGGAGTTACGAAGGGTTAGCTGCCATGTGGGTGCTGGAACTAAAACTAGGTCTTCTGCAAGAATAGCCAGTGCTCTTAACTGCTGAGCCATCTCACATTATCACTTGCCTAATATGATCTTGAAACCCAATTCTTAGTTTTTAATTAAATTTAAGCAATCACGTTAGAATATGGAACTCACCAGTTCTAGACTGGCTAGCCAGCAAGATACTAGGGATCCTCCTGTCTCTGCCTCCCCAGTGTTGGGACAGAGATGCACCACCCTGCTCAGATTTTTTGAAAAATTAATTAATTTTATTTTACTCATATGAGTGTATATATGCATGTAAGCACACCACATCTGTGCAGTGCTGGGGGAGACCAGAAAAGGGCATCAGATCCCTTTGAACTGGAGTTACAGATGGTTATTAGTCTCCATGTGGGTGCTGGGAGCTGAACCACGTCCTCTGCAAGAGCAGCCAGAGATTAAAGGTGTGTGTCACAATGCCCAGCTAATAAAATAAAATTTAAGAGCATGAGGGAGAGCAGAAATCCAGAGGGATTGGAGCATCCATGGTCAATAGAGTGTTGAGCAAACATAAATTATTTGTGCCTGCTGTGGTGGCTAACCACAGATCATTGTTACATACTTGAGATGTGTGACTGAGAAGCTGAATCCTTAGTTTTAATTAAATGTAGGCAATCACATTAGAATAATTTACATTTAATTACATGTGTTTTTTAAACCACTATACCACACGGTGCAGAGACTGGAGAGTACATGTTGCTGGCTGTATCAGCCCTTAGTGAAAGTTGAGCCACACAGGGGTGACTTTGGCTGGGAAAGTGGGTTTCAGTGAAATGAGCTAAGTGTAGCTCAGTGTGGTGGCCGGTGCCTATAACCACAGCACTCTGGAGGCTGAGGCAGGAGGATTGTCATGAATTCAACTCCAGCCTGGTTTACATAGGGAGTTCCAGGCCAGCCAGGAACCTGCTTCTCCCCGCCCCCCGCCCCAATACTGGGTCTTATGTAGCCCAATTTAACCTTGAACATGCTATGTAGCCAAGAATGACCGTGAATTCCTTTAAAATTTATTCTTTATGTGTATGAGTGTTTTGCTTACATGCATGTAATTGTACCTTGTGGAGGCCAGAAGAGGGCATCGATCTCCTGGAACTGGAGTTATTGATGCTTGTGAGCTGCCATACGTGTGCTGGAAACTGAACCTGGATCCTCTGCAAGAGCAGCCAGTGCACTTAAGCACTGAACCATCTCTCCAGCACCACTCCCCTTATTATTAGTTGCTATTGTTAATCTCTTGCTGTGCCTGATTTATAAATTAAAGTTTACCATGAATGGTATGAGGGAACGAATGAGTGAATGAATAGGAGAAAACATGATCTACAGAGTCAGGTGATGTCTTGGATTTCAGATGTCAACTAGGGGTCTGCAAATAAATAAAGAGCACTTTGTTTTGTTACATTTATTTATTTGATGTGTATGTGCATGCATGCGTGTGTCTCAGCACAAGTGTGGAGTCAGAGGACAATTTAAAGGAATCAGTTTTCTCCTTTTGCCCTGTGGGTCCCAGGGATCGAACTCAGATCATCAGGCTTGGTAGCAAGCACTTTCACCCACTGAACCATCTTGCCACTCCCCACTCTGTTATAACTGATGCCCCATTGCGACCGGAGAGACGGCTCAACGGTTAAGAGCACTGACTGCTCTTGCAGAGGACCCGGGTTTGATTTCCAGCACCCACATGGTGGCTATGAACTGTCCTTAACTCCAGTTCCAGGGGAATCTCTGACTTCCGCGGCATTGCACGACACGAATGCACTCACACACATGCAGACAATACACTCATACACATTAAAAATAAAAATATTATAAAAAATAACTGATGCCCCATTAGAGGTGACCAAGAAGCTCCTTGTAGTTCCCTTCCTGAGATACAGTCTGTGTATGTCTCTTAGGTCTCTATGATCTTAATCTTACCACCAATGGACCTGCCACCACTGGAGCAGAAGTGACCATTTCAGCCAGCCTGGTGGCCAAGGACAATGGCAGCCTCACCCTGCCCCCAGACACCCACCTGTACCATTTCCACTGGATCTACTCACCACTGATGCTCACTGCCAAGATGGAGAAGGATCTGACCTCAACCATCCAAGTGGTGGGCAATGTGCCTGGGGACTTTCCGGTGTCTGTCTGGGTCACTGCCACCCACTGCTGGATGTGCCAGCCTGTAGCCAGGAACATGGTGGTCCTCAACTTTACTGGTAAGGATCTTCTCTACCTGTTTGCCTTCTAAGTTTTTTAAAATTATTTTATGTGTAGGAGTGTTTTACCTGTATGTATGTAAGTACCATGTTGCAGAGGCCAGATCGGATCCCTTGGAACTGGAGTTACTGATGGTTGTTAGCTGCCATTTGGGCATTGGGAGCTGAACCTGGGTCCTCTGCAAGAGCAACCAGTGTTCTTAATGGCTGAGTCACCTCTCCAGCCTGTCTTCAAACTCTTGTGCCTCATTTATAGGCAAGGACTTCACCACTGACCTAAACCCCTAGTCTTCCTTTCAAACTGTGTGTGTGTGTATAAATGTTTGTGTGCTTATGTGTGTAGGAGTTTGTAGGCCAGAGACAACAGTGTGTCCTTTATTCGTCAGGTGACATCTGCCTTTTTTTTTTTTTTTTGGTCTTTTTGAGACAGGGTCTCCCTGTAGTCCCAGTTTACCTGGAATGCACTATGTAGACCAGGCTGGGCTGGCCTTGAGTTCACAGAGATCTGCCTGCCTCTGCCTCCTGAGTGCTAGGATTAAAGACGTGTGCCACCATGCCTGGCCTTTTTTTTTTTTTTTTTTTTTTTTGACAGGGTCTCCCTAGCCTCAGACAGCCTGGATCTCCCTAAGTAGAACCGACTGGCCTCAATCTCACAGAGATCTGCCTGCCTCTGCCTTCCAAGTGCTACGATTAAAGGCTTGAACCAGCACGACCAACCCCCCCCCCACTTTTTTTTTAAAGACAGTTTCTTAATAGCCTGGAGTTCACCACCAATTAGGCTAGGCTGTCTGGCTGTTAAGCCCCAGGGATCCACCTGTCTCTGCCTCCCCAGTGCTGGGATTATAAATGCAACCCATCACCATGTCCAACTTATTATTTTATTTATTTATTTTGGTCTCTTTGAGACAGGATCTCCCTGTAGACCCGGCTGGCCTGGAACTCGCTATGTAGACCAGGCTGGTCCTGAACTCATAGAGATCTGCTTGCCTCTGCCTGCCTCAGCCTCCTGAGTGCTGGGATTAAAGGCATGCCCCACAATGCCCGGCACTAAAAATGAATTTTAAAAGAATCTTTTTTTATATTTACTTTATGTGTATGAGTGCTTTGCCTGCATGTATGTGAGTGCACCAGTGTTGTGCAGTATCCGTGGGGACCAGATCCCCTAGAACTGGAGTTACAGATGATTGTTAGCTGCCGTGTGGGTGATGGGAACTGAACCTGGGTCCTCAGCAAGAGCATCTTAACTGCTGAGCCATCTCTCCAGCCCCTATTTTTTATTTTTAATTGTGTGTTTGTGTGTGTTTCTGTATGTATCTGTGCATGTAACTACAGTGCCTATGGAGGCTAGAAGAGGGCATCAGAACCTCTGGAGCTGGAGTTAGAAACAGTTGTGAGCCACCAGACACGGGTGCTGAACTGGGAACTGAACTCAGGTTGTCTGCAAGAGCAGCCAGAGCTCTTAACAGGCTGCGCCATCTCTCCACCCCCTCCCTGGTGTACTTTAAATCATCTCTGGATGCATTACTTAACTAATACAATGTAAATGCTATGTAAGCAGTTGTTAGACCATATTGTTTAGAGAATAAAAACAGTAACAATAAGCCTGTACATGTTCAGTTCTAATGCAACTTTGTTTTGAGACAAGTTCTCATAGAGCTCAGGCTATCCTCCAAGTCACTATGTAGTCAAGGATGATCTTGAACTCCCGATCCTCCTTCAAGTGCTGGGATTATACAGATGTGGCCACCACACTCTGCTTTAGTCTGTATATCCCCTTTTGCTGGTGGGCATCACTTTTGCCAGGAAGATCTGTCTCCCTGTGAAAGGGAGGAGGGGGCAGAAGCACTGGTTGGGCATTTGACGTGAACTGTGAGTCATCACCAGTGTCTGTGCAGCAGGGTGTGACTGGATTGTCTGCATTGAGGTACCTGTAGGGTTCCCACACCTCACACAGCTCTGACAGCTAAAGAGCTGAGCGAGGGACCCACAGCTGTTGCTAGAGATCTCATTTAGCTCTTTGTGCCCTGTGCTTCTGTGAATTCACTTTCCCTTCATCTTTCCCAGAGTTCCTCATGGGAGACCTCATCATTGCCCAAAACACCTCCCTGCCTTGGCCAAGCTCCTACATCACGAAGTCAGTCCTTAAAGTCTCCTTTCTCCTCCGTGACCCGAGCAACTTTTTCAAGATGGCTTCCTTTCTCTACCAGTGGGACTTCGGAGACGGGTATGTCCTTATTTATCCTCTTTTAAAAAATTACTTTCAGCTGGGCATGGTGGTGCATGCCTTTAAGTCCAGCATTCAGGAGGCAAAGGGAGGCAGGTCTCTGGTCTACTCAGGTAGTTTCAGGCCAACTAAGGCTACATAGTGAGACTCTGTCTTAAAACAAAAAACAAACACCAGGGGCTGGAGAGAAAGATTTCTCAGTGGTTAAGAGTACTAGCTGCTCTTGCAGAAGACCAGGGTTCAGTTCCCAGCACCCACGTGGCAGCTAACAACTGACTGTAAGTCCAGTTCGAGGGGAATCTGATGCCCTCTTCTGGTCTCCGTGGGCATTGCATGACATGGGTGTGCTTACATGCAGGCAAAACACTCATGCACATAACATAAAATTAATAAAAAAGAACCCCCAAGCAGCCAGGCATTGTGGTGCTCACCTTTAATCCCAGCACTTGGGAGGCAGAGGCAGGTGTATCTCTGAGTTCATAATAAAATAAGAGGTTGGGGAGATGGCCCAGTGGTTAACAGCACTAACTGCTCTTCAAGTGCTAGGATCAAAGGTGTGTGCCACCATGCCATGCTCCCCTGTTCTCCTTGAGAAAGAATAAAAACCAGGTATGGTTGTTCCAAACATAAGAGGTATAGGCAGGAGGATCAGGAGTTTAAGATTGTCCTGGGTTAAATAGCAAGATAGCAAGTTCAAGGCTAGCCTGGGCTACATGAGACTGTCTTAAAAACCAAAACCAAAACTATATGAAAAGTCAGAACTGACAAATTCTAATTCAAAAGCTGTGGGGTTTTTGTTTTGGTTTTTTTTTAAACAAGGCTAATCTACGTATTCCAGGCTAACCTTGAATTTAAGATCTTACTATCTCAGCCTGTCCAGTGTTGGGATTGCAGGTGCTCCACTTCACCTTGCTCGTATCACTTCCATGTTACAGGTCGGGAAGCAGTCATGTCTCTCCTCCCTGTCATTTTACAGAACTTTGATGGTGACCAACAATTCCGAGGTCTATTATAAGTATTCCATGATCGGAGCCTTCGTTGTGAAACTGAAGGTCGTGGCAGAATGGGAACAGACTGAGCCAGACACCACAAAGCGCATCATGCAGAAGACCGGCGACTTCTCAGCCTCACTAAAGCTTCAGGGTGGGTCTCCCCATGGGCTGGCACTACCCAAGGAGCCCCAGACATCACTCTTCCAGATTCAACTGATTGCAGGCTTGCATTTGGCGATGCTTGGACACATCCTGTCTCCTCATGCCCCTATCCCCTGAGAAGTTTCCACAGTCATCCAGCCATACAGGGTCATGTGACCACTCTGTAGACAAGTGGTCTTTTAGCTTAGGCCTCCCTGCTCCCAGGACCTGGGTGTGACTAGACACGTGCTATGAGTCTGGTGATCCTCCCTGGTACTTGTTCCCCAGTCGTAACAAGTTTAAGGTCAAAGCTGACTCTGGAGGATGGGTATCCTTAGTCTGAGGCAAGGAAGAAATATCCAATTCCACCTCTTCCTGACTTTGGGCAGCTTTCAGAGATTCCTTTGCATGTGTGTGCGTGTGTGTGTGGGGTGTGTACAGTGCACTTGAGTGAACACTTATGTGTATGTGCAGGTGGGCGTGCACATGTGTGCATGTTAAGGTCAGAGTACAACCTTCAGTGTCATTCTTCAGGGGCCAACCACCTTCTTTTTATGGCTTATTTATTTTTATTTTATGTGTATGAGTGTTTTGCCTGCATGTATGCAAGTGTACTACAGGTATGCAGTGCCTGTGGAAGTCATAAGAGGGCCTCAGATCCCCTAGAATTGGAGTTAGGGTGGTTAACTCAGGTCCTCTGCAAGAGCAGACAGTGCTCTTAACTGCTAATTCAACTCTCCATCCCCTCTATTGAGTGGTTTTTATTGTTGTTGTTTTGTTTTTTCTCCAGCTGTCCTGGAACTCACTAGGTAGACCGTGCTGGCCTTGAACTCACAGAGATCTGCCTGCCTCTGCCTCCCAAGTGCTGAGGCTACAGGCGTGCACTACCACGCCCTTAACCACTGATTTTTAAAGTGCTCCAAACACTTTTTTAAAATTAATTAATTATTTTTATTTTATGTGCATGAGTGTAATGCCTGCGTGTAGGTAAGTACACCTGTATTGTACAATACCCACAGAGGTCAGAAGAAGGTGTCAGATCTACTGGAACTGGAGTTACAGACAGTTGTTAGCTGCCATGTGGAATCGAACCTGGGTCCTCTGCAGGAGCAGTCAGTGGTCTTAACCACTGAGCCATCTCTCCAGCCCCCAACCACTTATTTTGTATGGGGCAACTTAACCAGCCATATCCAACCACCTTATCTTTGAGACAGGGTCTCTTGCTGGCCTGGAGCTCACCAAGTATGCTAGGCTGTCTGGCCAGCAACTCCCAGGCAACCACTTGTCTGTGTCTCCACACACAGCCTTTTTTCACATGGGTTCTGGGGATTGAACTCAGGTCCTCATGCTTACAAGGCAAGCACTTTACTGACTGAGCTGTCTCCCCAGCCCTTGTGAAGATTTCTTTATCTTTGCTAATGGTTGGTGTTTTTCCTGTGGCATAGGCTATTATGGCTCAGTGGCAATGGGTTGGAGTTGGTGAGAGAGCTGCCTTCTCTTTGTTTCTCCAGCCACTGCCCTCTGAGCCAGCACCATGGACAGAGAGGAGGACATGATGGTGGTCACACAGCCTAGGCCCTGTGTGCCTTGTGACAATCCTCAGTTGCTGGGTCTTAACAGGTTCCTCTTTCTTGATAGAAACCCTTCGAGGCATCCAGGTTTGGGGACCCACAATAATTCAGACCTTCCAAAAGATGACAGTGACCTTGAACTTCCAGGGGAGGTAAGTGAACCCCCAGGGTGTTCTGTGGGTGCCCTGTAATCCTTCTATATTCTCAGTGATGCACTAGAGCCTGCTCCATTCCTTCCTCTCATCCCTGGAGCTTGGGTTTCATGGAAGAATGGTTGTACCATTCTACCCTGTACCTGTGCCCTGGGGAGAGCCGTGGGCATAACTGTGTGGTCAGGGTCTGTGCCAGGTGTTTCTAGGTTCTTGGCCTCATATCCAAAGAATTGAAAAATAAGGACTCACTCAGGGCTATCTTTGCAAATGAAGCAAGATAACTTTATTTGGAGTGAAGCCATACTGCAGGTTAGAGGGTGACACAGTCAAGATTGGCAGCTGGCGAGGAGTAGTGGGGCATGCCTTTAATCCCAGCACTCCAGAGGCAGAGGCAGAGGCAGGCAGACCTCTGAGACTGAGGGTAGCCTGGTTTACATAGTACGGGTTGTGAGGTTGCTAGGTGTGTTGTTTGGAGGGCTGTGTGCCATAGTGCAGGTGATGGAGCTAGGCTGCTAAGTGCATTCATATCCAAGGTTAAACTACCACCTATGCTTGCTTGCCTCAGCTCATTCTCAGGGTCCTGGGGAGCAAGGACAGGTCTTCTGGGCACTCTGTGCAGCATATTAGAAAGACAAAGAGACCCCTCCTGTGCAAAACCCTCTGTAAGTGACATGGGGCCCTTTGTCTACATAATTTTCTGACCCTAGAGCTCTCTGCCTCTCCTCTCATATGCTCAAATGCGGCCCATCTTCAAGGCCCCTGGGGACACCTGCCTTCTGGAAAGCCTGCTCCATCCCCCAGCCTCAAAGGGGAGTTTGTGCAGGTTAGCAGAGGTGGGTGAGGAGCCTGGTTTGAGCCAGACACTATTTTAGGAATTAGACAATTGAGAAAAGACCAGAGGGAGACACCACTTCCAACGGTTATCTGTGCAAGGTGCAATACCCGTAAGGAGTGGAGGCTTCTCCTCAGTGGTCCAAGGCTCATGAATGAGGAGGTGGAAAGAATGTAAGAGCTGGAGGTGGGGAAGAGTGCTGTGAAACCCTGTCTTCTGCACGTGACAAGGCCAGTGAACTCATAAGGTCACAGCAGCAGTGGTCATGTGCACAAGACCCACACAAGATCAAGCCACTCAAAATCCCAGAATGCAGTGGGGAGGGGCTCATGAGGCCTCACCCCTGGTTGAGGAGCTGTTGGCAGTTGATGGCTGCTAGGGGAGGGAGACTCATTTTTCTTTGGGGGGTTGTGGCCACTGGGTAGGTGGCACATACTCATGTGCATATAGGCCGTACTAATTGGACTCGTTTTTTTTTTTTTTTTTAGTCTTTTTGAGACAGGGTCTCCCTGTAGCCCCAGCTGTCCTGGAACTTACTACGTAGACCAGGCTGGCCTTGAACTCAACAGAGATCTGCCTGCCTCTGTCTCCCGAGTGCTGGGACTACAGGTGTGTGCCACCATGCCCAGCTTTTTTTTTTTTTTTTTTTTTTAAGAAAGGGACATGGTATTTGGAGAGGGAGTGTTGGGGGACTGTCTAAGGAGCTGGAAGGGGTGTGGATATGATAAAAATACACTGTATTCGTGTATGAAATTCTCAAAGGAGAAGTAATTTTTTTAAAAAAGAAATGGATGCCAGGCGTGGTAGTGTATGCCTTTAATCCTAGCACTTGGGAGGCAGAGGCAGGTGGATCTCTGTGAGTTCAAGGCCAGCCTGGTCTACATAGCAAGTTCCAGCACAGCTGGGGCTACAGGGAGACCCTGTCTCAAAAAGACAAAAAAAAAAAAAAAAAAGAGAAATGGAAGCAAATAAGCTAGGGGTTTCTCTTGGACAAACCTTCTTGATGGGACCTGTCAGGGCTCATGGTCAGAGAAGTATGAAGTTGTTTTCAGAAAGTGGTAGGACATTGAGAAGCTAGATCTCTTTTTTTCTACAAAGCTAGATCTATTTCTTCCACCTGGTCCTTCGGGCGGAGAGAGCTGCAGAGTTTAGTAGTCAGGGTCTAGCCCTTGAAACACTGTTATGTTCTAGTTTCCTTTCTGTTACTGTGATAAAACACTGACCAGAAGCAGCTTGGGGAGGAAAGGATTTATTTGGCTTATACTTCTAGGTCATAGTCTGTCACTGAAGGAACTCAAGCAGGAGCTTGAAGCAGAAACCATGGAGGATGCCGCTTGCTGGCTCACTCTCTAACTCACTGTCAAGCTTATATTCAGTTAACTTTCATATAGAACTCAGGACCACTTGCCTAGGGATGGTCCTGCCCATAGTGGGCTGGGCCCTTCTACATCAATTAATAAGATAATCCCCCATAGTCATGCCCACAGGACAATGTGATCTAGGAAATTCCTCAGTGGAGGGTTTTCTCTCCCAGATGACTCTAAGCTGAATGGTGCTACCCATGTTCAGGGTAGGTCTTTTCACCTCAATTAACTTAATCTAGAAACTTCCTCACAGACATGCCGAGAAGTTTGTTTCTATGGTGATTTTAAATCCCATCAAGTTGACGATTAGTATGGATCATCATGTGGGACAGGTAGCCCAGTGCCAGCTTGCCTTTCCTGGACTTGGTCTTAGCTCCAGGTCCTCTGAAAGCTTGTCCCTTTCCCCTGCAGCCCGCCTTTGACTGTGTGCTGGCAGCTCAAGCTGGGGTGTCTCCCACTGGAGGAAGGAGAGTGCCACCCTGTATCTGTGGCCAATACATCTTATAACCTGACGCACATCTTCCATGACCCTGGGGACTACTGCTTCAGCATCCGGGCTGAGAATGCCATCAGCAAGACTCACCAGTACCACAGGATCCAGGTGTGGCCCTCCAGTAAGTAACACCTCGTCCTCTGCTAAGTGCCACACAAGCATCAAAGCCCTGTCTACCACCACAAACCCAGCCTACCAAGGCCATCAAGAAATGACTCCACCTTGGGTCTGGAGAGATGGCTCAGCAGTTAAGAGCACTGGCTGCTCTTGCAGAGGACCCAGGTTCAGTTCCCAGCACACACATGGTGGCTAACAATTGTCCATAACTCCAGTTCTAGGGGATCTGACGACCTTGTCTGACCTCCACAGGCATTACATGTATGTGATGCACTTATATATATGCAAGCAAAACATTCATACACATAAAATATAAGTAAATAAATTTTAAAAAAGAATTGACTCCAGCAGCACTAAGACCAAGTAGCTCTCTTAGGTCAAAAACAACCATATTGACCAACTCTGCCAAAAACCACCATCGCCACCATTGACACTACTCTACCAATTTCAGCAGCACCACCAGACTTCACCAATACCATCAATAACACTCTACCAGCCTCATTACCACCAATGCCATCAATGGCACTCTACTGACCTCAGTACCAACACCAAACTCCACCGAATACCATTGACAAAACTCTATCAAACTTAGCACTGACACTAGTTTGCTTTCTGTTGCTGTGATTAAAACACTGGCCAAAACCAACTTGGGGAGGAAAGGGTTTATTTCATTTTACAAAACTCCCTGATTGCAATCTGTTACTGAGGGAATTCAAGGCAGGAACTCAAGTAGGAACCTGGAGGCAGGAGCTGAAGCAGAGACCATGGAGGAACGCTGCTTACTGGCTTGCCTCCTCTGGCTTGATCAGGTACCTGTCTTTCTTTTTAAAAGAATTTTATTTTATGTGTATTGCCTGCATGTATGTAAGTGCAGTGCCCATGGAGGCCAGAAGAGGGTGTTGAATCCCCTGGAACTGGAGTTATGAATGGTTATTAGCTGCCATATGCGTGCTGGGAATTGAACCCAGGTCTTCTGCAAGAATAGCTATTGCTCTTAACTGCTGAGCCATCTCTCCAGCCCATCAGACAGCTTTCTTACACAGCCCAGGCCCTCCTGCCTGGGAATAGCACTGCCCACAGTGGGCTGGGCCCTCCTACATCAGTTAGCAGTCAAGAAAATGCCACACAGACATACACAGGCCAATCTGATGAAGCAAATTCCTCAACTGAGGTTCTGTCTTTGACAATGTGTCAAGTTGACAACTAAGATTAGTTATCACAACCCCAGTACTACATCATTATCACTACTAAACTCTACCCGTGTTATCCTCAACACTCTACCACCATCAGCAAATACCACACCCAACCAGTATCATCAGTAACATTCTACCAACCTCAGTAACAGCACCTATAACTCTACCAACCCCACCATGAACATCAGCATGACCAAACAGTAACAACTGTGTCAGTTCCCGCTAGGACCATGCATGCTCCATCATCATCACTACCACACTGCCATGGTCATCTCTGACCCCACCCACTTTTCTAAACACCAGCTGACAATGACCAATCCTGTAACTGTGCCTACCATTTACAATTCCTTTGCCAACCATTTGGACTGGCTTCTGTGAAATCTTGATATCACCTCAACTATAGCTCATTTCCACCATTGTTGTCAACATCCCTTCCCACACATTCCCAGCCTCCTATGTCCCCAGTGTGAACACCTTGCACTAGATGGACTATCATCAGCACAGTGTTTCTTCCTTTACCACCATCACCCCTGCCCTGGCAACTTCACCTCAACACTACTGTGCCACAAAAATCAGCCTCCTTCACAGTTATTACCAGCTTCCAGGGCTGAAGTGAGTCTTCCAGGGATTGTGGGTGCCTCAGAAAATACAAAGTAGGGCTGGGATGTAGCTCAGGTGATAGGGCACTCATCTTGCACAGGAAGCCTTGGTTTGATCCCCAGCATCACATAAAATGAGGTGTGGAGGTACACATGTGTAATCCCAGCACTTGGGTGGTGGAAGCAAGAGGATGAGAAGCCCAAGGTCATCCTTGGCTACATAGTGAGCTTGAGGTCAGCCTGGGCTACATGAGACCCTATTTTTTTTTTCCTCTGAAACCTTTGAAACATTCATTGATAATATCCATGAGTACATTATCTCAGACAAGACTGAAAATTGTTGTGGCACAGATGTGTGCCACCAGGACTTTGAGAGCCTATTTTTAAAAACAAATTTTTTTTTTTGGTCTTTTTGAGACAGGGTCTCCCTGTAGCCCCAGCTGTCCTGGAACACACTATGTAGACCAGTCTGGCCTTGAACTCACAGAGATCTGCCTGCCTCTGCCTCCCGAGTGCTGAGATTAAAGGCATGTGCCACCATACCTGGCAAAAACAAATATTTTATTATTGTTATTTCATGTGTATGAATGTATTGCCTAAATGTGGGTAAATGCACCTGTGTTGTACAATGCCTGCAGAGGCCAGAAGATGGCATTGGATCCCCTGGAACTAGAGTTACAGTTGTTTGCCATGTGGGTGCTGGGACTCAAACCTGGGTCCTCTGTAAGAGGTGCTCTTAACCACTGAGCCAGGTCTCCAGCCCTGTATCTTTTTTAAAAATTTATTTATTTTATGTGTATGGGTGTTTTACCTGTGTATATGTAAGTGCACCATGTGTATGCAATGCCTGCAAAGGCCAGAAGAGGGCATTAGATCTCCCGAAATTGGAGTTATGAACATGTGAGCTGCCATGTGTGTGCTGGGAACTGAACCTGGATCCTTTGCAAGAGCAGCAAATGCTCTTAACCACTGAGCCATTTCTTCAGCCTCATGAGACCCTATTTTAAAAAATAAACAGGGCCTGGAGAGGTGGTTCAGAGTTTAAGAGTTCTGGCTGCTCTTCCAGAGGACCTGGGTTCGATTCCTAGCACCCACATGGAGAGTAACAACTGTCTAACTCCAATTCCAGGGGATCTTATGTCCTCTTCTGAACTCTGTGGGCATTGCATGCACATGGTGCACTTACATACATGCAGGCAAAACACTCATGCACGTAAGATAAAAATAATAAAATATTTTAAAAACAAACAAACAAAAACAGTAATCCCCAGCAATAATGGTTTGGGACTCTAGGAAGCCAGAAAGCATGTCCTTATACAGAGGACAAAGTAGGATCTCAGGACACTAGGGATAGCCTTTCTGGTGCCTCAGTTGGTTCCACCTTTCATGCTACAAATGGGAAAAATAAGGCACAGGGAGACAGCAAGGCTGGATGTCAGCCTGTTGTGTGGCTTTTCCTGGGGAGACAGGACGTCAGCAGACATCTGCTTACCCCAGTCAGGGCACCAACCACACATCAAAATAATAATCCCACTGAAGTCCAACTTGGTGAGCCAGTGGGTTTATTGAGTTACTTAAGGAGCATGGATGACCCCAGGGCAGTTGCAGCACCAAAAGCCCACCCCAGCATGGCTGAGGACTCTGGAAAGCTGTGGCCCTCAGGCTTCCTGGGTAACTTGCAGGGGACTAGACAAAATCTCCTTCCCCTCAGCAATTGTTCCTGCCTTATGAATCTTGTAAGTTTCAGCTTTCTGAGACTTGTAAATTTTGTTTACTTCCTGAGTCTTAGAGCCTTCCTCTTCCTTCCAGGAAGGAACATTTTGCTTTGAAGGAAATTGCTACATGAAGGCTTGGGCCAATGCACAGAACCCAGCTCCAACCTTCTTTTCTTCCCAGTGCCTCTGAGGGCATGCCAGACCTTGCTGGCTGTGCCTGACTTCAAGACTGACTGTACAGTTATCCCTGGCATTCTCCCATGCCCTCCCCTCTCTTAGTCCTTCTCTGAGTCTCTGATAAAGATGCTGCAGGTCCTGAGTGACCTCCTGGGCTTTATTGGGTGCTCTGAGTTCCGCTGCCTCCAGGATGCCCTGGACTGTCACTAAGGGTATAGACCCTATGAATTCTATGAGGAGAGACGTACAGGGCTAGAGAGGTGGCTCAGTAGGTAAAGTGCTTGCTATGCAAGCATGAGGACCTGAGTTCAGATCCTAGCACATGTACAAGCTGAACACAATGGAGTGTGTTTGTAACTCCAGCACTGGGGGCAGGGATGTGGAGATAGACTGATCCCCAGGGCTTCCTGGTCATCCAGTCTAGCCAAATAAGTGAGCTCCAAGTTCAGTGAGACACCCTGTCTCAAAAAACAGAAGCTAGGTGTGATGGTATACATCTGTAATCTTAGCACTGGGGAGGCGGAGATAGGTGGATCTCTGAAAATTTAAAGCCAACTTAATCTATGTAGGAAGTTCCAGGTCAGCCAGGGCTACGCAGTGAGACCCTGTCTCAAGAAAATAAAATAATGACGAGCCAAAAAAAAAACAAAACAAAAACAAACAAACAAACAAACAAAAAACCCAACCAAACAAGTAAAAACAAAAAGCAAAGCCAAAAAATGGGGCCAACAAGATAGCTCAACAAGATTGCCTCCAAGTCTGGCAATCTGAGATCTATCCCTGGGATCCACATGGTAGAAGGAGAGAAATGACTCCACAGAGTTGTCCTCTGACCTTCACATGAACACTGTGGCCTGTGTATTTACACACACACACACACACACACACACACAAAATAAATAAAAAAATAAAATAAATAAATAAATGCAGTACATTTTTTTTTTTGTCTTTTTGAGACAAGGTCTCCCTGTAGCCCAGTTAACCTGGAACTTGCTGTGTAGACCAGGTTGGCCTTGAACTCACAGAGATCTGCCTACCTCTGCCTTTTGAGTACTGGAATTAAAGGTATTGGGCCATTGTGCCTGGTACAATAAATTTTTTAAGTAGAAAAACCAAAAAATAGGATAGTGTAGAGCGTGATAGAGGAAGACACCTAACTTTGTCCTCCAGACATTCATGCACAGGCAACTGCACTTGCACACCTTTACATACATGCAGCACACATACACACACATACATACATACACACCAAAATATGAAAATTAAAAGATGAAAATAAAAAGATAAGGCAGTATAGGTGATCATACCACCTTTCCTTGGGAAACGATCCTCCTGATAAAGGGCGTGGGAAGAGTGACCACCTGCCAAGCCTGGCACATTCATGCCTCTCACTCATCTCACCACCTTTCCTTGGTAGCCTCTCAGGTCAGCATGAAGATCAGAATCAGAATTCGAACTCGTGACCACCTAATGGCAAACACTGAGTGTTTCCATTCTTCCATGCTGGCTTTTAGTAGGTGCTCTGTGGGTGAGAACAGATGTGCCAACGGGAAGCTAAGGCAGAGGACACAGCACCGCTGTGAGGTTTTATTCTTTCTACGTCACTGTCCATCCAACACGGTAAGACTGAAGAGAGGAAGGGTTTGTTTGGCTCACGGTTCTGTTGGGTTCAGTCCATGGTTTCTTGGCTCCAGGCAGCATGGTGATGGAGTGTGTGGCAGAGGAGCTTTTTCATAGCAAAGAGGAATCAGAGAAAAGGGCAGCTTACATCATGGTGGACAGGAAGTGGGCAAAGGGGAGACAGGAAAGAGCCAGGGCAGAAGATAGCCCCCATGTCCTGAGTGACTTACTGTTCTAGTTTCATTTATGTTGCTGTGATAAAGCACCTGACCAAAAGCAACTTAGGGGAGGACAGGGTTTACTTGGTTTACAATTCCAGGTCACAGTCCATCACTGAGAGGAAGTCAGGGCAAGCAGCTACCATACCACATCCACAGCCAGAGCAGAAACAAAAGCACCTTTACATTATACTAGCTTTCCTCATTCAGACAGCCCAGACCAACCTGATTGAGATAATCCCTCAACTGAGACTCTTTTCAGGTGATTCTAGGTTGCAGCAAGCACACCTCCCCCCAGATCTCTACCTCCTATGTTTACCACCCCCCAATAATGCCAAGCAATTATGAATCCATCAAGGGATTAATCCATTGATTACTGTCAAACCTGCAGGATTCAAAAATCACTGGAAATGTCCAGAGAGGTGTGCTTTACAAATCTCCCAGGTGACTCTCAATCTAACCAAGTTGACAACAGAAATCCCATCACAGGAAACCTTCTGTATTTCATTTTGTGGACTTGGAGGGTCATTCACTTTCACTGTTGTCACATTGTACACTGGGAACTAGTCACTGAGTCCTGCCCCAGATGCAAGGGATGAGGAATTTAACTGTCCCTGAGAAGTTATAGCTAAGTAGCTTGTAAGTATATTTTAAAACTTTCACATACCCTAATTTATTTATTTATTTGTCTATCCATTCATGTGTGTGTTGTGCATGTGTTTATGCATGTTTGCCTGTGTATGTCACACGTGAGAGTCAGGCCTGAGTGAGCCTACATGTGGACCGCCTAGGTCGATGTCAGAAATCATCCTCATTGCTCTTCCACCTTGTTCAATGAGACAGGGTCTCTCAGTCAGACTCACAGCTCACCAGTATGGCTAGTGTTGCTACCCAGCTTGCTCTACGGGGGAATCCCTTGTCTTCCCCTTCCAAGACTGGAATAACAGGTAGGCTGACAAGCCCACCTGACGTTTACATGGGTTCTATGGATCTGAGCCTCAATCCTCATGTGTGTCCAGTACTTTAACCACTAGATGTCTTCCCAGCTCCCAATTATTATTTTTTTAATCCTGGATTTTCCTGTGGAGTTGCCTAGCTCATGCTCTTAAGAGCTGAATTTCATGGGTGGGATTTGACTGTTCTTTCTCTTGTGGTGCTTGCCTCCTAAGAACCAGCATTTGGGCTCAGCCAGTGAAGTGCTTGCCATGGAAACATGGGAACTGGAGTTTGAGCCACAGAACCCACATAAAAAAACTGGGCTTGGTGGTACGTGCTTGTAACCCCAGTGATGGCAGGCTAGGAGGCAGTCAGGAGGATCAGTGGAGCTCACTGACCACTTAGCTTAGCCTACTTAGAGAAGTTCTAGACCAAAAAGAGACCCTGTTTCAAACAAAAAGTGATAGGCACCTGGGGAAGAACTCTCAAGGTTGTCCTTTGCTCTACATGCACACATGCACCTGTGCACTCGAATACCCCCACCAACACATGATGCACCCATACCCTGATGAGTACACACACACACACACACACACACACACACACACACAGAGTCATGGTTCTTTGGTTGTCAACTTGACACCTAGGAAGAGAGAGCCTCAGCTGAGGAATTCCATTGGATTGGCCTGTGGCCATGTCTGTGAGGCATTTTTTTGATTGTTGAGTGATGAAGGAGGGCCCAGCCCACTGTGGGTGTTGCCACCCCTGGGCAGGTGGTCCTGGGTTGAATAAGAAAGCAGGCTGAGGACAGGCCAGAGAAGCAAGCCAGTAAGCAGCATTCCTTTGTGGTCCATGCTTCAGTTCTTGCTTCCAGGTTTCGGCCTGCCCTAGCTTCCCTAAGTGATGAACTGTGATTGGGACAGGTAAGCCAAATAAACCCTTTCCTTCCCAAGTTGGTTTTGGTCAAGAGTGTTCTATGAAACAGCAGTAGAAAGCAAACTAGGACATACATGAATGAATATTTTAATGAATTAATTATAAACTTAATGTGTATATATGTGTACATGCATACGTGCATGGCATGACACACATTTGGAGGTCAGATGATAACTTTTGGGAGTCACTTATCTCCTTCCACCGTTCTGTGGTTTCCAGGAATTGAACTCAGATCGTCAGGCTTCACAGCAAGTTCCTTTACCAACTGAGCCATCTTGTTACCTCATGAGCCAGTGTTTTAGCACCAGCTACCCAGTCCTGTAACTTCCCCTCTCTCCCTCCCAGGTTTCCAGCCTTTTGTCTTTGCTTTCCCATGTGCCACGCTGATCTCTGTGATGCTGGCTTTCGTCATTTACATGACTCTGCGGAATGCTGCTCATCCTAAGGACATGGTGGAGGTGGGTGCTCAGGAGGGTGTAGGCTAGACCAGGAGAGAGTGTGGGGGTCAGGCCAAGATGCCTGGAGAGAGTCCTGCTGGGGGAGCAAACCCCTGAAATTTGGGATGAGGTGCCGAAGAGGAGTAGACTGGGTAGATCTGCTGAGTGACTAGTACCCATCTGAGGGGCTCCTTTTCTGTTGCACTTGTAAGGCCACAAAATGGGCTGGTGAGGGGAGGGGCTCCCAGTGGGTGGTGATTGACCCATGGGGTTTTATTCACCATAGGTGGCTGATTTTGACTTTTCTCCTATGTCTGACAAGAACCCGGAGCCCTCTGGGGTCAGGTGCTGCTGCCGGATGTGCTGTGGACCCTCCTTTCTGGACACATCATCTGAATACCTTGAAATCGTCAGAGAGAACCATGGCCTGCTCCCGCCCCTCTACAAACCTGTGAAAACTTACAATGTGTGAGCACCCCACCCCCACACCATCTCAGTGTTCACCGACTGCCCACTGGGAGCTTCAGGCTGGGTGGCATAAACCACCAAACAGAAGAGGTCCCTACAGGTGGGGCCATTTGCCCAGGCCTGCCATTGATCTGTACAGTTTAGCCGCTCTCACAAGCCCCTTTGTGTCATTTCCCCCTCAGCTGTCATCCTCCCATCCATTCAGTGTAGTCACTGCTGTTAAGCCTCTCTGAGTCACCTCCCCACCCTCTACCAAGTAGGAATCTGATATTTGGTGTTTTCTCTTAGGTTTCTTCTAAGTGAGTCCGGCTACCCATCACCATCTCATATTGGTATCCCTGTTGTCCATTGGGGATTCACGCATCATTCTGCAGGGCAGCCCTGCCGATGCTGGAGAGCTAGGAAGGAGGTCATAGTTGGTTTGGATTCCATAGTGAAAGGTCACATGCACTCAGTTGGGCACACTTACAGCAAGGAAGAATATGCGCACGGAGCATGTATAAGTTACTTCTCTGTTGCTGTGATGAAACACTGACTTGGTGAGGAAAGGGTTTATTTGGCTTACAGCTCACAGTCCATCATCAAGGGAAGCCAAGGCTGGAACTTAAGCAGGGCAGGAACCTGGAGGCAGGAACTGAAGCACGGACCACGGAGGGACACTGCTTACTGGCTTGCTCCTCTGGCTGTGTTCAGCCTTCTTTTTTAACCCAGGACCACCTGCCCTGGGTTGGCACTGCCCACAGAGGGCTGAGCCCTCTCACATTACTCAATAACCAAGAAAGTGCCCCCCAGACATGCCTACAGTTCAGTCCAACAGAGGAAATTCCCCAACTGAGGTTCCCTCTCTGAGGTGTGTCAAGTGAACGACTAAAGTTGTCCATCACAGAATGTCACAAATGATTAGCATTATCTGTAAGGCCCACTGCTGGGATGGATCTGAAGTAGGAACTCGGGTGGACTTTGATCTCCCACACTCAGCCCCAGCAGAGTCCAGCCTCTCTGTCCTTGGTCTCTGCTGCCCTATTGCCAGGCTGTTCTATGTTCGACTTATTGAAAGCTTGGGGCAGGATGGCCACTCTGAGTGTAGAGTGCTTTATAAATTCACCAGCTTTCACTGAAACTCATAAGTTCAATGTCCGCTGGGAAAACAGACTTAGAGCAAAAGGAGAGATTGAGTCAGTTAGGACTTGGGTTCAGAGAGAGAGAGAGAGAGAGAGACAGAGACAGAGACACAGAGAGAGAGAGACCTTGCCCACCCAGCTGCTCCCAAGGTAATAGAAGGAAGAAACAGGAGGGTCAGAGCGAGAATGGGATAGCCAGTCCCATCTCCTGTCTCCTTCCCTCGTAAAAGGACCTGGAGAAGGCAGAAGATGGAAAGGATTGGGTGCCTTGAGAGGTGATAACTAGGTACTAGATGCACATATTGGGGTGTGCCAGGCAGCCTGCTCCTGTTGAATGGTTAGGTACAGGCACTCATAACCAGGTGTTTGGGACAGCCTGTACCTTATTGAATGGTTAGGCACAGTTTCACACGTCCAGGTGTGCCGGGGCAGCCTGCACCTGTTGGATGGTTAGGTACAGGTACATATTCAGGTGTGCTGGGGCAGCCTATACCTATTGGGGAAGGAAGGTGGAGACTGGGGGCAGGGCTGTGTCACTGCAACACTTTGCCCCTAGACTTTGAGCTCATTCAGCGTTCACACTGTCCTGCCACTCATTCTCATGACATTCCACCATTACTGCTGAATAAAGTGTCAGTGTTCTGAGCACCACCAAGCACATTCTGTGTGGTGTTTTTTCCTCCTGCAAGGACAATGTGTCCTTGCAAATGGCAAGAGCAGTGCTTAGAGACTAGGTGTGGTGGCACCCTCCTTTAATGCCAGCACTCAGGAGGCAGAGGCAGACAGATCTCTGAGAGACTGAGCCAGCCTGGTCTAATAGTAAGTTCCAGCTGGGGACACAGGGAGACCCTCTAAGTAGTGCTCAGAATCAGCAGGATATGAGGCTATGCCTGGAGTGCTCTGCGAGGGTGGGGACTAAATGGTACCCCTTAGACCTCCTGGAGGTAGAATGTCTTCAGGCATATTCCTTTTCTCATTGCTGACAAAATACCTGAGGACAGAAGCAACTTAAAGAAGGAAGGTTTATTTGGGCTTTTCCTTTAAGAAGGGTTGCAGTCCCTCATGGCAGGGAGGACGTGGAGCAGGAGGCAGCTGGTCGTGTTGCAGTCAGGAAGCAGAGCTGAGTGCTGCTATATTTGCTTTAAAAATGTTTTCCTTTTTGAGACAGGGTCTTACTGTGTGGAGTGTTGGGGTTAAAGCGTGTGCCACCACACCTGGCTATTTTTAAATTTTATTTTAATATTTTATAATTTTAGTTTATGTATATAAGTCTATTGCCTGCATGTATGTAAGTGCACTGATGTCGTGTAATACCCTTAGAGGTCAGAAGTGTCATGTCCCCTGGAACTGTTAGCTGCCACATGGGTGCTGGGAACCCAACCTGGGTCCTCTACAGGAACAGCCAGTGCTGTTAACTGCTGAGCCATCTCTCCAGCCCCCCAGCTATTTTTTAATTAAAAAAAATTGTGTGTGTGACTGAGTATATGCTGTGTGTGTGTGTGTGTGTGTACGCTTGCCTATGGAGTCCAGAGGAGGGCATGTGTGTGTGTGTGTGTGTGTGTGTGTGTGTGTGTACACGCTTGCCTATGGAGTCCAGAGGAGGGCATTGGATCCCCCGGAGCTGGAGTTATAGGTGGTTATGAGATATCTGATGTGGGTGCTAGGAACAAAACTCCAGTCTCTGGAAGAGCAGCGAGGGCTCTTAACCGCTAAGCCACCTCTTCAGATCCTGCTTTCTAGTTTTGAATTGAACTCAGGACCCCCATCCATGAAACAGTGCTGCCCACACTCAGAGTGCACTGTTCCCTTCTCTGTTAAATTGCTCTGGAAATGCCCTCACAGGCATGCTGAAATGTATGTCTCCTGTATGATTCTAAATTCTAGCAAGTCAGGATTCAGCGCAGAAGCCTGAGGAGATAGCTTAGTTGGTAAAGTACTTATCTTGAAAGCATGAGCACCTGCGTTTGATTTCCAGAACCAAACCTGGGCATGGTGGCATGGGCTTCTGTCTCAGGACTGGAGAGGTAGAAACGCCCTGGGGCTCCCTGGCTGGCCAGCCTAGCTGAATCATTGATACTCAGGCCAACGAAAGACCCTGTCTTAAAAAATACAAGGTGGCAGGGCTGGAGTGCTCAGCAGTTAAGAGCACTGACTGCTCTTGCTGAAGACCTGGGTTTGATTCCCAGCACCCACATGGTGGCTAACAACTGTCCATATCTCCAGTTCCAGGGGATCCGACACCCTCTTCTGACCTCCATGGGCACTGCATGGCACAGCGGCACCTACCTACATGCAAGCAACACACTCATACACATCTAAAATAAAAATGCAAGGTGGGTTCTGGAGAGATGGCTCAGAGGTTAAGAGCACTGGCTGTTCTTGCAGAAGACCCAGGTTTGATTTCCAGCAGCTACTTGGCAGCTAACAACCATCTGTATCTCCAGTTCCAGGGAATCCAATGCCCTCTTCTGATCTCTGCAGGCATTCATTGACATGGATACACTTAGATACATGTAGGCAACACACTCATATGCAAAAAATAAAAATAAAATAAAATATAAGGTGAATTAGTGACTAGGGCATCAACACCTGAAGTTGACCTTTCATTTCCAGACACATGCACACATGTGCACATGCACTCAAACATACATGCACCCCCCCATGTGAACATACACACCCATACAAAGAAATACATGTTACTAGCATTTTAATAACGCCCCACTGTATTTTATGCTTTTTGTTTTGTTTTGTTTGAGACAGGGTCTCACTATGTAGCCCTAGCTGGCTTGAAATTTGCTATGTAGACCATCCAGGCTGTCTGCCTCACTCTGCATCCTGAGTGCTGGGATCAAAGGCGTGTGTCACCATGCCCAACATATTTTATACCTTTGGAAACAACAACCCTTGAAGTTGTTACCCAGAGAGCCCCCCCACCCTGGGACTCTAGGAGGTAGCAGGGGACCCTGTTTTATGCTGGCCAGCAGAAAGGACCCTTGGGGTTCTCCAAGGCTCCAAGAGACCAGGCACCCAGCACCATAGGCTGTCTGTCTGCAGTTGGGAGTGTGTCCAGCAGATGGCAGTGTCCACTCAGCCATGCTTCCTCTGGTCTTCCTGCTTGGCCTTGTCTAAGGCACAGACCTCATGTATCTGGGCAGCTACACACACATGCACATTCACACACAAGTGAGACAGCCAGTCTAGCAATCAACTTCTAGAATAGTCAACCCTTTCCAGGACAGAGGCATCTTGGGGAGCTCTGGCCCTTGATAAGTCCTTTAAGAATTGGGGGTCTCTTTGTACTTCTGATTTTTCTTACAGAGTATCTTTTCTGAGACATCCACAGGTCCAACCAAAGAATAATGTAATTGCAGCTGAGGGGAAAGTGGGGTCCCATAGTGAACAGTTGAGGTGTGATCTGGCTCTATGGTGTCACTTAATTTGTCTGTGCTTTAGTTTCTTTGTGTTGTACAATGTGCTTAAAGAATCCTTTACCCAGTAGGGCGTGGTGGTGCACACCTTTGATCCCAGCGTTTGGGAGGCAGAGGCAGGCAGATCTCTGTGACATTGAGACCAGCCTGGTCTACATAGTGAGTTCCAGGTCAGCCAAGGCTACATTGAGATCCTTTCTTAAAAAACAAACAGGCTGGAGAGCTGGCTCAGCAGTTAAGAGCTGATTTACTGATTCTTTTTGGTATTTGCTCTTCCCTGCAAACTGGACACATGCACATAGGCATCCATATTTGTACCAGCACTATGGTTTCCAGGGCATACTGTGGGAGTATGGGGTAAGACCCCGGTGTACTCTGACAACAGCAGGCTCCCAGACCCTGGTTCCAGGAGAGGCATAAGGGGAGACCCAAGTAGGGTGGTCGGTTCCAGCTCTGCCTCTGTGGGATAGCCTGGAATGGTGGGTCTTCTGTCTCCCTGTCTGTACCCTAGAAGGCTACAGATGCTCACTAGGTTCAGGGCCATTCTGACCTCTCTTGACCTTTATGTGGGATCACAAATGCCCAGCTTTATTCTTCGTTTTCTGTGCTGGAAGCTGCCCCTTGCAAAAAGCCCATGGTGTGTGTGGGGTGGTGGTGGTAGAGAGATGGCTCAGTGGTTAAGAGCACTGGCTGCTCTTACAGAGGGTCCAGGTTTGCTTCCCAGCACCCACATGACAGCTTACAACTGTCTGTAACTCCAGTTCCAGGGGATCCAACACCCTCTTCTGGCCTCTGCAGGTGTGATGGTTTGAAGGAGAGTATCCCCCATAGGCTCCAAGTATTTGGAGTTTGTGGCACTGTTTGGGGAGGGTCATGGAGCCTTTAGGAGGTATGGCCATGTTGGAGGGAAGCACATCAGTGGGGACAGGCTTTGAGAGTTCATAAGCCACGTCCTTCTTCCAGTCGTAACCCTCCCTCACCACTTCCTGTGCCTGCTTGAAGATGTGAACTCTCAGCTTTCTGCTCCAGCTGTCTCTGCTCCATGCCTCCCCTCCAGGATAGATTCATATCTCTTTGGAACCGTAAGTCAAATAAACTCTTCCTTGCCTTGTTACCACAGCAACAGAAAAAGCAACCAACACTGTGGGCATTGTATACATGAGTACACTTATATATATGCAGTCAAGACAGCCATACACATCAAATAAAAATAAACACATTTTTTTAAACAAAAAAGGAGCCCACTGGACTGGGTGGTTCACTTTCCATCTAAACAACTCCAGTTTTAGTCTCCAGTTCAGCTGGGTCTGTGCAGCTATGAAACAATGCCATGGCAATTCGCAGCAATCAACACCAGGGGGTGCTATAAGCTCTTGTTCGAGGAGATGGGATGGCAGGGGTTGCCAGAGTCTGCTATCCCTAGGTCCTTGAGTGTTTGGTACTGGGTCATAGCCTGGTCCAGAAGGAGGCTGGAGACATATGGCAGGTGTTCCACCTTAAACAGAATCTGTGCTCCCCACGCCCCAGTCTGGTTCATCTGCAGCCATGTTGTTTCCCAAACTGTTGATCAGCTCATCCCCTCAGTCCCCCAAGGACTTCCTAGGACCTTCAGCACTAATCTAAACTCCCAGAATGGAACATTCAGATCCTATCCCCTAAACCCCCATAACAAAATGTCCCCAGACAACTAACATATAAGAGAAAAGGCTTCCTTGGCATGCTATTTGGTAGTTCCAGTTCATGATTGGGTGGGTCCATGGCTTTGGGGCTCTGGTGGGCTGCCTAAGGGCCATGGCTGGAAATGGGGCAGAGCAAATTGCCCTTGCTGTGCTTAAAAGTAAAAGAGGGGCTGGAGAGATGGCTCAGCAGTTAAGAGCACTGGCTGCTCCACAGAGGACCGGCGTACAATTCCCAGCATCCGCATGGCAGTTAACATCTGTCCATAACTCCAGTTCCAGGGGATTCGACACCTTCTAACCACTGCAGGCATTGCACAACACGTGTACACTTAACACACATGCAAGCAATACCCTCATACACATAAAATAAAAATAAAATATTTTTAAAAAAGCAAAAGAGAAGTATATGAGATTCCTTAGTCCCTTTTGAGAGCATGGTTTAATAACCTGGGACCCTCCCACTGGACTCTTCCTGCTGAAGTTCCCCTCACTTCCCAATAGCTCTACCCTGGGGAGTAAGTAGACCTTTAATGCTGAATCTTGGGTCT